AGTGAATATTAAAGCATTCGTGATCCGTGTCACGACATCATTAATCTCACGTGGGAGATTACGTAGGCATTTCGTAGGCGTGAATTACAGGTGTCGTTCGACAGTGCAGTGGGATGCTACAGTCGCTGTACGCCGCGCCGCGCCGCGCCGTATTTTCTCTCAATCCCAACACGACACAGAGGTTGCTTCCTTGCTTTTTGAGAGGTTTTTGGGTCTGATCGCACGACAACGACGACGTCGATGTAATACGTACGTTTTCGCGTCTTCGAGATAAGAGTTTCGCGAGAGAAGACTCGGCAACGATTATGCGCACCATTACCGATTAAAGACGAACAATACAGTCGTGCCGCGATAGGAATGCAGCTCGTAAATGTCACGGGCGGGGAGCCGAGACCTAACGAAGAGAACTTGGAGATGTTTATTGCTCTTCTCGCGCCTTACGAGACTAACGAGACACGTCCCCGTCCGCGCCGTCGCGTCGCGTGTGTGCCGCCGACATTACGTTTACGTACTCGATTCTCGTGTCAATCGTGTGGCTCCGATGGCAGCGATGCTATATACAGATGCTGCGAAACAGTGCGAGATCTCTCTTTACGAGAGATCTCACATGCTATGATGTGATTGCGTCTTGACAAACGCATCTTGACTCTGTCTTTTAGAAAGAGTACTTTACACCATTTATGTTGTATATTTTTTTTAAATGTAACAAATAAAAAAGGAAGGCTCTGAGAAAAAAAGGTCTATACTCTACATACAACAGATGGACAGGAGAGATATTTAAACGTGTAATTACCATATGTAATTTATCTTTATGAAATAAACATTCATATCGTATATGATTACGGGATGATTTATTTTTATATATCCAAGTTTATATAATTTTAAATAAGATAGAATTAAATTAAGACATTCTCTCTCTCTCTCTCTCTCTCTCTCTCTCGTACAATCAAGCTATATATTCTACACGTAAGTTAGCTGTTACTCGTATATAATTGTTATTTATAGATAATATAATACATAGATAGAGTTCTGAAACTGCGATATTCGAATTTGATTAAAAGCTTACAAGTCGCGGATAAGGGAGGAAAGAAATTGCGCGTTTTACAATCGCGAGATAGACTAAAATGAGGATGATTAAAGGTCGGCAATCGGTGTGAATCATCAGTGAATCATGTGAATCATGATAATGATAGTCCGATAAGAATTAGCTTATCGACATTACAATTATTATACGACCGCGCGCGTCTAATATAAATTATATGTCATTATTGCCCCTGTTAGGCGTTCGTGCCATTTACAAAAGAATAATCTTTACGATTGATTTTTGAGATTGAAGAGTACTTTCTCGTTAAAAGAGTATAATTTTTGCACAGAAATTTCGTTTGCATTAATAAAAATTAGAATTTTTGAAAGTTTTACAATTATAATAACTATTTCAGTTTTTTGTCGATTTTACAGCCAAGCTTCTACCGATAATAGAAAAACTAATAGAAATTATACAATATGATTTTAACTGTTATACAAATGCATGCGATATACATACCTACATGTTTCTTTCAATATTTTAATGGAGATAGAAGACTTGGGAGAAATCAAGACGTGATCTGGATACAATGAATTATCCGACAATCAAGATCCCGTATCGTCCAATTAGGAACTTCAATCTTAAGTAGCATTCTTTAATCTTTAATTAGTTAATTGCGCCTCATACAAGCGGTCCTTTAGTTCATTTTAATGTCACCGGAGAAAAACGTATCGATTATATTCTCGTGCAGTTTTACTATTCAACCCGAATTACCTATCACATTTCTACAGACGATCTTTAAATTATTTTTCCGAAATGTTATGAAACTGAAGAGAAATATTAGATATGTTCAAGTAAAACAAGTCGCGTATGATTCACATTTATGATTCATGCAATAGTATCGAGGCAAATCGAATTAGCTTTGTCATCTCTAGTTTTTATATACATTTCTACCCTACGTTTTACACACACACAATCTACACCAATACAAATTTCTTCTCTCTGAAACGAAAATTTTAATTAATAATTTCAAATTAAAAAGCAATTTAAAGCTAGCGAATTCTCTCGTCATTTTTATAGCTTTGTTTATCACAATTACAATTTGACGTCAGACTAGCGCGAGTTTAAACATGCCATACTAACGGGATAAATATCGAGAGATTTCTATTCTTTATTTCTTCAATAATTACATATTTCCGGTTGTGCTAGAAATTCCGCATCAGTGAATTCAAAATGAAAAGGCAAAGCCAGCATGCCAAAAGCGTTTATTAAATTCAGTTATTTTGTGTCCTTCCTCACTCGGTTTCGTTTGTACGTACACGTCCTGTTGTGATATTTCGTGGCGATGACACAATTCGGACATGTGACGCTTGGATTTTCTTGGTATATATCCCTCCCATTACGCGCGTACCAAGTATTCGAGTATTAGGAATTTCACGATCAAGTGATTTGGAGTGATGAAAATGCAATACGTCAAGGAGCGAGAGTATGGCACATCCAACATCCAAGTTGATGGCGTTGATACATACGCCACAACACAACGTAACGGTAGGATAATACTTGTGCGCGATTTTTATCTGCCGTGCTGCCGTGCTCTCTCGACAGTCTCGACTCTCGTCGGTCGCAGGCGACGTGAGCTGCGACGCAAATCAGGAATGATCAGGAAGTAGGCACGGCACGCAACGCGACGCGACGCGACCATATACCTGATATACCTGATACGCTACGGCAACAGGTGTGCGCGACCAGACGATTTGCGGCGTTGCAAGTTGCAAGTTACCAACGGTGCTGTTACGACGGCGACGATCTCGTGATCTCGTCTCGTGAAATTTCCCGAGCATCGCGTGGAATTCGCATCGAAGAGAACAAAATAGATGAGAGAAGACGCACGATCGTAGCTTAGCGAGCGCGCGACGAAAAGAAAACGGGACCGCTTACCTTATTTACAAATTTGTCACAACGCACTGCACGCGCACGTACACCTTGAGAGACGTCTCGAGAGGCAGGCGGAGGACCGGGGAGAGGGAGGCACTCGATCCCGAGGCGACAGAAAACTAGCAGCGGAGCTACGTCCCGAACATGCTCGACCGCGAATACTCCGCCGACTAATCCGATATTGGCGATATTCCGATGACCGATCGTAATCCCCGATCGACGCACCGTCGTTACCTGCTGACTGCTCCAGCCGCTCCAGGTGCGCCGCAGGTAACGCGACGTGCCATTGGTTCAACGTTCAACGTCTACGAGACCGACATGGCGGTCGGAGCCGTCGGAGGGTCGGACTCGTTCGAATCGGCAATCTTCGCCACGATGCTTCAGGATCGTACCATTTGTGTTCGTACGATCTAGCGGATCTAGTCCTCGAATACTGCACGACCAATTTCTCGTTATAAGCCTGCTACGTTTTCATCTCTTCAACTTTTATTTATTTTTTTATTTTTTTTTTTTTTTATATAAAAACGAAATAACATGAACAAACAGTTGTATTTAATCAAATAACAGGTATATCGATTTGTACGTTAATCATGGCACAGTCGTAGCTCGTAGCGCGAGGCACTACAATCAAGTTGCACCGTATGCGCCGTGAAAGACGAAGAAATCCGAAGACCGGTATCTTGAACCAATACGACTACCTGTTATAAAGGGAGACTATAAAGAATGTGTAATTTGAGGAAAGGGATACACCTGTTGAGAATGCAGTGACCGGATTGGCTAAGTGGCGGTCAATTTAACAATGTCAAAATCTTTTAACTATTTGTTTAATCAATAACAAATTATAGCATGAGTGAGACCAAGTCATTATCACTTTGAAAATGATATTTATATTCTGGGTCTAAGGAGAGTTATAGTAATTAACATCGATCTCAAAAAAAAAAAAAAAAAAAAATTATCTCAATTTAAAATTTAGATTCAAAAATTAAGAAATATTGACTCAATAAGTTTGAAAATCTAAAAGAATTGTAACAAGATTTTGTTAAAATATCTAATTATCCACATTTGACTATTTGTCTAACTGGCAGTGGTACAGATATATTTTCATTTTTGTACAAATAATTGTAATTGAAGGAGCAAAAACATATATTTGTACAGACAATTAAATTTACTGAATAAAAATAGATGTACCAACATAATCGACTCGCGTCGATTATTTTTTATTACTTGACCCACAAAAGAGGAAAGCAATAAAAGAACCCCGCCATAATCTTATGGAAATTGGGTTTCAGCGAAACTTTCTGGATTTTTTATATGTTGTAATCCTTACCATCCCGAACAAAAGTCTCCATGGCCGTGATCCTCCAAATTCAATATTTCGATAGATAAAGAGAAAATACTATCATAAATCCATATAATTAGATTATCAGGGGAAACAAGTGCTTAAATCTTTTCAAACCGGTAAAAAAATTAATTGCAATACATGTTCGCAGTAAAATGGGCACAGAATCATAGAGTCAATAGTGAACTAAATGATTGACCTTAATCAATATAGTTGCTGAAAACTATAACATAGTGCACATAATATGCAGTAACGCCAATGCAAAGATTTGTCATCAGATAAACATGAACGTGAGCAAGTATACTGATTAAGGTAGAGTCATCCAAGTATTTGAGTATTAACTCTATGATCCAGTGCCCATTTTACTACATACATATATAAAATTAATTATTTTCTATTGCTTTGGCAAGGGTTAAGCACGGTTTCTTCTGATAATCTAATTATATGGATTTATGATAGTGTTTGCTCTTTATCTATCGAAATATTGAATTTGGAGGATCACGGCCATGGAGACTTTTGTTCGGGATGGTAAGGATTACAACATATAAAAAATCCAGAAAGTTTCGCTGAAACCCAATTTCCATAAGATTATGGCGGGGTTCTTTAAGAGTGTTATTAAAGATTTGAATGTTAAATTATCCTTCTTTAGTTTGAATAAACTTGACAGAATTATTAAGGTACAAAAAGATAGTCTTTTATATATATATATATTTACGTATCATTTTCATAGTCCTTGGGATTTTTGCGAGAAAGAGCATGATTCTTTTCATTCGCCCAATTCACGAGCAAATAGGAAAACATGAAAACTGTAACAAAAATAATAATTTAAGATATTAAAACTATAAAATAAGTGATTCATTAAATATGCAATTACTAAATATACTTACAAGGTGCAATCTTAAATACACTGCCTTGGAAGCGACGAATTAGATTTGGTACACCTTCCGATATTAATCCTTTGAAGGCTTTTTGCTCGTATGGACTTAGACGAAAGTAGACGATGCCATTAATTTTGTAAAGGTTTCCAAACTCTTTCCCCATGTTGACTAAAGTCTAGAAAATACATATTTGTTACAACCTTAACGCATACTTTATGAACATAACCAATTTCGTATAATTGTAACGAATATTCTTCAAAACGTCTTTTAATATTCCAAATTTACATTTCAAAAGTTTTAATAAAACACAAGACACAATGTCAAAAACATAAAATAATTATGTAACTTTTTTTATACTCACAGCAATACGCAAGAGAAGAAAAGAGAAATGTCTCCGATCGCCGTGATACTTTTATGATCGATTCTCCATATTCCACAGCACACTTTTGTAAAATGTGCCATCTGATGGTTAAACAGGGTATTGCATTAAGCTGGAAACACAATAGACACAGGCAATAGGCACGAGCAACAGGGAATAATGAGCCGTCTAATCAGAGCTCTGGGATATAATATCGAACTTATATCCCAAAGCTCTGATTGGACGGCTTGTTATTACTTGAGATGTTATGAACCAATCAGACCAACCGTATGAGCATCTTAATAGCGTTTACGGTCCGATCGGGTTTGCACTAGAGTCCTAGATTTATGCGGGGTCTACAATAGAAGTCGTAGCAGTCGTAGGGTCTTAAGTCGTAGAAAATTGACCAATCATAGTCGATTATTCTTCTCATATTCTACTGTGGTTGGTTAATTTTCTACGAGTGCTTAAGACTCTACGACTGCTACAACTTCTATTGTAGACCCCGCTTTATCAGAGAGGCGCAACCGGCTTAAGGCAGTATGACAAAGTTACTAGGGAGAGACTCAATTAATACTAGAAATTTAACTGCCTATTAGGGCCTGCGCACAATAGAGGAACAAGAATTAGATATTAAGATTTCAACCTATCAGAAACCGTGTATTCCGATGTAATCAGTTTCTGATAGGTT